TTTATTATAAATATAAATATATTGAAAAAAATAATTTACCAAACTTTAAAATTTTTTAAGAGAATGATTCATTTGCAATCTATGATTTCTTTGAAACTTTTGTTTCTTATGGCAAGTACTATATGATACAATGAAAAAATTTTTGATTTTGAATTTCAAAATCGAGATCAATTTTGCAAATTTTTTTTAATAATCTTTACTGATTCAAAAGTGTAGAATCATATATATATATATATATATATATATATAATAGTTATAATATTTATTTTTTTATATATCCTGTATATATTAAAGAGATTTAGATAAAAATTAAAAATTTTTCTTTTCCAGATTTTTAAGTGAATATTTTGTTACGTGTATATATAATTGATTTTTTTAATTTAAATATTACTACTTATTTAAATTTTACATATATTTAAATTTAAAAATTAAAAATTAAATTTTATCCCTAAAAAATTACAATTTTTTAAGGATTATGTTTCAATCGTTTTTAACACGTTCGTTATCACTCAGATTAATGATAATTCATAAGCTCTATGTATTTGCTCTTTTATCTGACTAGCTAAACTCTCAATAATTGTAATAGATAATTTTCATCATGCGAAGGTGCAAATTATCAATGGTCCACACATAATTTTCATGGCGAGTGGTTCACATATATGTTTCTATTTATATTTTTAAAAACATAATTTAAACTGGAAATTTAAATATAAAATTATAAAAAGAAATTAAATAATATGTTGATTTAAAAAATTATTATTATTTTCTCAAATTTTTATTAGTTTTAATTGTACAAAAAAGTGAATTCTTCAATACGAATAATCAAAAATAACAATAATGATTAAAATATAACATATAAATTCATTTATGTAGTTTTGCAAAACATGGAAAGCAAAATAGTCTGGGCAATAAGTGTTGACTCTTTTATTATAACATTCTTTTTTCCTTTTTTCATGGTTATAGAATAATAACATTTTTTACATTTCAGCATTCTTACAATTTTCTAATCATTCTTTATTCTTTATATTTTGTCAAAATATTTTATGTGATATGTTTCGGCAATATTAATGTTAAACATCTTTCCAATTTTTAATAAAACGTTAACTATCCTTTTACAAAATTTCAAGATTTTTTACTGGTAACAAAAGTTTTTATGATTTTGCATCATAAAAATTTCTACAAAATCGAATGAATATAAAATTTTAGAAATCTTCTTTTATGAATTTTTTGATCATAAATTGTTTATAAGTTCATATTGTTTAAAATTATCATCCGGAACTATTATATTTACCACTAAATGAATTAGAAATTTAAAAAATTTTAAAATTTTGACTGATTAAAAAAATATTTAATATTTTATTTATATATTTCGAAAATTATAGAATATAATTGCCCATGTAAATAATTATCTCTGGAAACAATTTTTTTCAATTAAATCAACAATTTCAATTTGCATATTCACTACTTACATTATGCATTTCTCATAAATTAAATGATAAATTACTGAAACAAAAACATAAATAAATACCAAAGTAAAAAAATGCCAAAGAATAAATAACTTATAATTAACTTTCATACAAAATATGAAAAAGCGTCGAGTTAAATATATTAAATATAGTAAATTATAAAATTTATTATATATTTTTATTATTATTGAACATCTAAGAAATTTATATAACATAACATAGGATATAATAATTAATAATTTAATAAAGTAATATTAAAAGCAAAGAAAAATCTTAATCTACTAATAGTTTAATAATGTATATTCAAATTCTAATAATAGAAAATTCAATTCATTCAATGTATTTTATATAAAATGGAGATTCAAAATTGAAATAAACATAAAATATTAAAAACATAATATTTTTTATGCAAAATCATCGTTTCAGTTATTTAATATTCAGTTATTAAATATTTAATATATTTAATATAAATAATATAGTATATTAATAAATAATAAATTAATTTTTAATATAATTATATAATTATTATATATATATATAATTATTATATTTATATATATGTAATATACATAATACATATATATATATATATATCTTTGATATAATGAAATTATATAATTATTATGTAATTATATAGTTATGTATATTGTCAATAAATATTGAACATATGAAAAAAATATAGTTTGTCAATAAATATTACAATATGTATCATCAACTACAATAATGTTGAGAAATTTGAATTCATATATTGACAATATCATTGATCGTTAAAGAAGTATCAATTAAAATTTCCATTTTTCTATCAATAAAATAATTAAAACATTTTGTACATTCAGATTTTTCTATGCTATTTTTTAACAATATAAATAAAATTTTCCGCGAAATATTTTATTGCACATATTTTTAAAAAGCATACTAATATTGTTATATTAACTATATATCAATTTCTGTATCAATTGTATATTTTCATTTTTATCAATATCAATCTTCTTTCATTTCATAAAATGAAATATTTGACGTGAATGCTTATCCTCAATACTTTGGGATATTTTATTTTTCTTTAAAGTGCTTTTTGAGGTTGATAATTATCACTGAACTATTTACTATGAACTATATTTTATGTAAATTTAATATTATATTTTTCTTAATAATTAAACATATCGTTTTTATAGATGGATTTCGGTTATAAATGCCACCATGCATTGAAAGAGAATTGAAAAAAAATTTTCTAATATATATTTAAATGACAAATATCAGAAATATTACATCTTCTCATTTTATATACCAAAGTTGCACATTTGCAACTGAAATTATTGCAATTTTAATATTAGAATATAGAATTATTATTATTTATATTTATAAAAGTAGAAAACAACATGGAGTTTTTAAGCTAAAAAAAAATTGATTAGATAAACTAACATTAGATATGCTTTTTAATTTTGTTTTTTTTTATTGTAAAAAAACTAATTTTGATTAAAGAATATGAATAAAAAATGATGATATTTGTTTGAATCAAGATTGTGAATATTACATCTAATTATCAAATAGATTATTAAAGATCTCAAAAAAGTTGTATAATACAGTATTTGATTTTATAGAATTTATATAAGAAAAGAAAAAAAAACATAAAACAGAAAAAACTTTTTTGTTAAATTTTTGCTTGTAATGCGAGCTAAAATTCATTCATTTTATTAAAAGTATTTGCCTTTATATATTTTTCAATTAATTTAAACTGTTCTTGTACTTATCTTTATCGCATTCTAAATACCATATTCATCATTTCCAAAAAAGTAATATCATATTATAATACTTGCAAAACATAATAATTTAGAAATCATAATAAATTAATAAATTTAATAAATTTTTAATAAATTATTCACTATGATGTTTTTAAATAAATATAAATAATTAAATAAAAAATAAATTTTTAAATAAATTTTTATAAAATAAGAATTTGAATATTAAGATTTCCTTTTATTTGTTATTTTAAAAATTCGAAATTCTCAAAACACTTAATAATTTATTTGCGTGGAAATTAAAGCATTTTTTATTGACATTTTGTCAAATAAAAAAATATAATTTCTATCATTTAAGTTCAATTCTTTAATCCGTAGCGCATTAAATAAATTTTGGTACTTAGTCAAATATCAATTACAGCGAATAATTATTAATTAAATTAAAATACAAAATTTAAAAATATTGCATTTTTTGCAAAGTAAATCGTCATACTTGTTTTTGCATTAAATAATTATTTTTTTATTAAAAAATAATTATAAAATAAGAGATAAATAGAATAAAAGAAATAATTATATTAATATAAATATTAAAATAAAACAATTGAGTCTATATACTATTACTTTTTTTAATAATCATCTGAAGAATGTTTTTTTTCTATTTTATAAATTAAAATATAAATTAAAAAAAGATTAATTTTTTATTATATTTTTATTTCAATCAAAAAAGTTAATTGTCAATCTTTGATATAATGAAATTAAAAGAAGATAAAAGAATATCATAAGAAATGTTTTTATTACTGCATTTTTCTGATAATTCAAAAGATTAAAGTTTTTATTAATTTCTAAATAATGCAATAACGATAAATTTATAATATGGATTATAAATTGTGAATTAAATGATTGAGTGAAAATAATTATTGTATTAAATTATTTATATAGTAGATAGTTTCCTAAAAGACAGTTATGTTTCTGAAAGATTAAAAAAGAATGCTATTTCTTTTTTATATTCAGATTTAAATCATGATACAAAAAAATAAAATAATATATCAAATATAAGAAATGATCATGAAAGAATATAAAAAATTAAGAATGATTTAAAAAAAAGAAATAAGTATAGTATTCTTTGATCACAATTTTTGAATTAAGCTTCTTGAAGCTTAAAAATATAAATTAGAGATTACAAACTGAATCGTGGATACAAGAATTAAACCAGAAAAAAAAACATAATTTTTAATTTCTTATTTTTCTTTAAAAATAATATATTTTAAAGAATTTAAAAATTAAAAATAAAAATTTTAAAAAAATTAATTGTTAGTTAAAGAAGAAAATTAATGAATCTTTAATTTTTAATTAAAATTTTTTCATTAAAATTAATTTTTTCAGTAAAATTAAAATTCATTAATTAAAATTTTTTTAATTATAATAATTAATAAAAAAATAGTTAATTAATTTAAAAAAATACAGAAATTAAAAATTAAAATATATTAAAAATATATTATTATATAATTATTATATAATAATTAATATAATAATATAATAATTAATATTAATTAATCAATAATAATTATTGTTAAAAAAATTCAAGGAATTTCATTAATGTGACTTTCTTTTTGTTATCTCGCCAAAATTTTAAATTATTTCACATTTTATTATTTTATTATTATTTCATTTTTATTATTTTAAGATTTTTATTATATTGATATCGATATTTTAATCGATCATCAATCAATTCGTTACTATATTTATAATTCCCACTAAAATGAATCTACAATCAAATTCTGCATTCTGTTGGTAATGATGCGAGTAACATGAAAATAGTAATGGAAATCTAGAGCTCTAGAATTTGGGTCAGAAATATAAAAATACATTACATATTACATGATTAGTCTATTCTTATAATTTATCTGTGATAATACAATAACGGTAAAGAAGTATTATCAATTTTACGCATTTACAAAAGTATCAAAAATAATGGGACGAACTGTATATGCAGAGGAACGTCTTCACAATTATTTAATATCTTTAGTAAGACCAGATGAATACACAATAGGACTAATTGTGGGACAGGTTCGATTTTTGTATGTTTCAATTTATGTCATCTTTCCTGTTTTCATTCATTTTAACATATATAATTTTTACGTATTTTTTTAGGTTATTTTATTTAATTTATATTCTTTTTAAAATTGATATGCTAAATAAAAGTTTAAATAATAATCCAATTTAAATTTTTAATACATTTTATCTAACTTAAATTATAATTAATATTACAGAGTACTGGTCAAAAAGATTATATTGTACATTTAGCAAAAACACCACCACCTATTGGCAAAAATGTTGTAGAAGAAATATTGCTTAATACTACAATAAAATCTGAACAAAATACTATTGAAAACCACATTAAATCAGTAAAAGATATACCTGAGAGTTGGGTTGCAGATCATGCAAAACATGTAATGATCTATTTTATTTTAAATAATTTTATTATTAAATTATATATATATATTAATATAAATTAAATTATATATATATATTATATATATATATTAATATAAATTAAATTATATATATATATTATATATATATATTAATATAATTAAAATTTTAAATTTTATGAAAATTAAAAAATTTTAAATACCATTATTTATAGGTTACTAGAATGTTACCTGGTGGAATGCGTGTTCTTGGCACATTTATTATTGGTCCAGAGGACAGTATAAATGATAACAATATACAAAAATTTAAATCTGTTCTTACAATGATGCATAAAAATTTATTACACAATAAATATTTATGTGGGGATAATAATGAAGAACATCTTATCTTAAATTTAAATAGCATTACACAAAAGTATAAAAAATTATAATATTCAATAAATACATTTTATTATATTTTAATTTTTTATTATTTTAGATACACTTGTAAATCTATAGAAATAAATACAAATGGAATGTTTAAATCAGTAGATTGGAAATTTCAAACTAGAGCTACTAAGTGGCATCAACTTGAAACATTTATAAATTTTGACCGCCTATTTCTTATTGCTGCTAATAAAGATCCAGAAACTCTTAAAAAACAACTACAAGATATTTTAAAAACTATATCAGATATTGTTGAAACTTCCCTTATTGTTATTGAAGGAGAAGTTTGGTCCCCACATGATACATTAGAAGTAATTAGCAAAAACAAAAAAGATGACAAAAATTGTAAAAGTAGTGAAAAAAATAATAATGACCAATCTATTCAAATTAACTTATATATTCCATGTGTAAGTATTTTTTTTTTTTTCCTATAAAAACATTTATCCTAATTTTTATATTACTTTAAAACCTACTTTAAAAATAATTTTTAAATAAAAAGAAGTATTTAACATATTAATAATTTAATTAATAATTTAATTAAAATATTAATGATTTTATGAATTATTAGCAAGAAGAGAATATTAATTCTGATGTGAAGGTAACGCCATGCTCTGCTTCTATACGTTTGATTGGTCAATTAGTAAGTAGAACTTTTGTTCATCAAAAAGCAATTGTCGAAGAAGCTAATACAGCAGTAAAACAAGACATAATAAGATCATTAGCAAGTAGATTAGAAATGCATTGGGATAGTTTAATTGAAGAAGAAAATGGATCTCCAGAAGGTATCTAATATATATAAATAATTATTAAAAATTTATAAAAAACTCATTTCATTATTTTTTTTCAGAAAATATAACATTACATGAACCTCCAAGGAGAGTATTAATAGCATTGCCTGAAAGTAAAATTACCTTATCGGATTATTTATTTCCTGGTGAAGGAGCTCAAGAAGCTCTTTTATCATTGCAAGAACTTTTAGACTTAGAAGTTCATGAAAGTACTGTTCAAAAAGATATTGAACTTGAAGCTGGTAAATATTAAATGTTTAAATATATTATATATATATATATATTAAATATATTATATATTATATATTATATAAATATATTATATATTATATACATATATATATATATATATATATATATATATATATATATACATACATATATACATACATATATATAATATGTATACATTTTTCAAATAGATCCTGCAGAATTTTATTTTCAAAATAAAATTGATGTAAAAACTGTTGATCTTGGTATAAATTCATCTGGAAATCAAATAAAGATATATATCACAAGTTTTAGTATTGCACTTTTAATTGTAATTTTTGCCATTATAATACATAAATTTTATTAATATCAAAAATAAATTTATAAAAGAATTTATATTTTATTATAATATAAAAGAAAAATATATATATTTGAATCATTATAATGTTGAATGCATAAAAGGAAATATTAACAAATAAAAACAACTGCTTTGACATGGTGATGATATATTTATGTGTACAGAGACAAGTCGCATTATCTGTAAATTATCATGTAAAAGTATTAAATTATTAATCTATATAATATAAATTATGTATACATTGAATATATTCAAAAACAAATTATATGTATCAATAATTTTATCCTAATATTTTATATAATTAAATATAATTAAACATAATTAAATATTTTTGTAAAATTATACATACATTTGAGATAAAACAAATAATTGAATAAAAATCTTTTAATAAATAATATTTAATTTCTGCATTTCCCAAAGTACTAATTATTACATGCATCATCATTTAATATTTAAAAATTTTAAAGGATTTTATATTATACAATATATATCGCAATATACCTTTCACTTACAGTATTATTATTTTATAATAACATCTACACAATATATACATATAGTATTATACACACATAATATATACAAAAAGAAAATAGTTTTATAATCAATGTAATATTAATTTTTATATAATAAAATAACTGATAAATTTGTTTGCAATTCATCATATAAATAATATCTAATTTAAAAATATTGACAATAATATTTTTTGATCATTATATTAAATTAAATAATGACATGCAATGTCAATGCACAAATTATATATTTAAAAATTAGGCAGTGATATATTTTTAAAATGCTTAATATAATTCATTGATATATAAATATAATAAATTGTTTAAATGCTTGCAAAACTATACTAACATTTATGAAAATTCCTGTATTTACAAAATTTTCTTTACACTGTACATAGCAAATTGAATAAAAAAATACTTCACTTTAATGTGAAAAATTAAAAATTAAATTGTAATACTTAATATTTCCACTAATAACTGATTACTAATATAATTAAAAACTTTAAAACTTATAGTTTTTCTGATCTTTAAAAATTATTATATTTTTAATGTTTAATTCTAAAGCATTTACACATTTTCTAATAATATAATTTGCTCAACAAGTTATCTATACATTTTTTTCTCTCTACTTTGATATTTAATGACTAATTTTTATTAAAGAATTTTGAATATAGATACATTAATTAGAATTTAAATGTTTTAGTCCAATACATTGCATGACAAAAATAAGATTGCAGTTTATAAGTTATAAAGTTATTCAAAAAAATAGATATAAATTCATATTAAGTTGATTAAGTAATGCATTTTTTCTTAACTCAGATATCTTTTGTTTATGTATAATATTAAGAATATCAATTTATGTTAAATCACCACAATTTTATAATTTTTTGTTTACATAACTACTATATATAAAATATAGAGAATATTTTTATTTACTAAGTTTTTATAATAATAAAACAAAAATGTAAATAGTTGGAATGGAATTAATAATGTTAAATATCATAAATGAATAGTGCAGATAAGAAAAATATTTTACATTATTTTTTATTAAATAAATTAAAATTTAGGTAAATTTATTATAAATCAAACAATAATTTAATTTTTTTATTCATGTAAGTTTTATGATATATTATATAATAATAAGTTTTAAAAAGAATTATACGAATATAATAGAAAAAAATAAACCTGCACTATTCTTTTGATGATTTTTTAAAAATTTTAAATCTAATTAGATAAAAACTTAATCTATAATCTAACTAGATAAAATCTAAATCTAGATAAAATAGATTAGTTATACTGCTCCCATTTTTATAAGTCCTGCTTGACTGCCTCTACCAACACTTGCATCTTCCAATGAATCTAAGTCTAAAGCAGACTCTATCATGGTAGTATCTTGTAACAATCTAAGTCTAGATGCAGACAAAGGTGTTGTTACAGTTACCGAAGGTATAGAAGATGTATCCAATGTAGATGAAACGACAACACTCTGACGAGAAGGCAGCGGAGCAATTTCATCAATATCAATTGGAGCTATATTAAGTGATGCTAGTGGTACTTCATTGGTAACAAGTTGACTCACGCTGTTTGTAGTACTACCTAAAAACAAATATCCAATAATAATGAATTGTACAAAATAATCTAAACACATATGTATATGTATATACATTTCATATATAATTTTAAATATAAGAGTTTCAATAATTGCTATTAAAGACCAATAAAAGCCGTTACAAACGCTTATTAGCAATAAAAATTGAATAATGCAACTTATTGCAAAAGTGCACTACTAATTGTGAAATTTTGTTGCATAATAAAGAAAATAAATCAAAACTAAATTGCAATAAAGAAAATATCCCAAGCAGTAAGATGTGTTTTCTATGTGTATACAAAATGTTAATATAGTCATGGGACATTTTTAAAAGATCAATTCCTATAGCTATAACATAAAAATTGACATATAAAAATATCATTAAGATTTATTTCTTAAATTATAAATAATTTAAATTTGCATTAAATGAACAAAATAAAAATAGAATGAAACAGCAATGTATTGAAGAAAAATTATTTATTTTTATCATGTTTCATTTAATTTCAATTGCTTGTAATTTATTAAATAAATCTCAATTGATATTTTTGTATATCAATTCTCATATTTGTTTTAGATATTAGAATCAATCCTTCATGAATATATGTATTAATTTATATATGTCTGATTAAAACCAAAAATTATAATAGATAACTTATATGATTATGTGTTGTGTAATGTAAAAATTTTAATATTGCACATACAAGCATAAATTTATAATATATTTTTTATACATAAAATTATGCACATATTTATATATACATATATAACTATACATATATTTATTTACATATTATATTTTCACAATCCCAGTACCAAAAATAAGAAAGAATTAATTAGTCACAAATCCATAAACCCTTAAATTGATATAAGATTTTGAAATTAGTTTTTAAAAATATAGGATGTATTGTGTTTATTAACGGCTATTAATAAATATCTAAATATATTCATTCATATTAAACATACACACAATGATGAATGGAATAAAGGAAAATTAACTTACCAAATTGTATGCTCTGAGCCCTCGATACAGGACGTAATTTTTAAACAACAAATAAATATAATTTATTGAATCATAAAAATATGGCTAAATAAGGAAAAATTTAAATTTATTTTATATTTGATGATAATTCAAATTTATATTTAGATTAATTTTTTTTGCTTTAAGATTCTAAAATAATATTCTAAAATAATTATGTTCCATTTATTTTCATTATATTACATAATGTAAACAACAAATAATTATTATTTTTTGTAAAATATTAAAAAATTGTAATGAAATTAATAGTTTAGTTTTTTTCTCAATTAAAATATATAATATTATAACAAGAATACTAATTTCTTCTTTCTTCTTAAAAAAAAAAAAAAAATGTATATATGTATATTCAATACCAAATTGTCAAAAAATAAATAAATCTTAATAACAATATTAATAATAATCAAACTTGAATTTTTATCCATAAAGATCTAGTATATAAGTTATAATATAAGAAAACATAAACAATCATATTAATGATTACTTTTGTTAATATTTAATATTTTTTAATACTATTATTTTTGCTAATAATATTTATATACATAATAAAATTTTGTTTATTTTATGTTATATAATAGAATTTATATATTTTATATTTTATTATATTGTATGATTTTAACATTAAAATTATTTCCTAACAATTATAGCCATTTAAATTTTTTTCTTTTCCAATAAATAAAATAATATTAATTTAAAAAAAGGGCAAGAAACTATTAAAAAAAAACATTAAATATCATCATTATCGCTTATTGAACTCATGATAAATCTTCGATTTAAAAGATCTTCCTCAGTACTATCATTTGGACATAAAGAATTTTCTGTATAAGAGAAAGCATTAGTTAAAGATCCTGAACCAAATCTATTAACTGCTAGTCCTATTGCATTTTGACCAATAATTGGTATTCCTCCTGCTCCTAATATTCGTGACATTACAACAGTTGGCAAAAGATTCTTTGATATTGGATATTTTAAACCATGAACAGTGCACCTCAAATTATTATATTTAAGAGTATGAGATTGAGATATTCGTAGTGGATCTTCAGAATAACATTGTGGAAATTTTTGGAGATCAGTGTAAATACTTTTATCATTAATTTTATATCGTACCGAATCTTCAGAATATCTTTGCGGATATTTCTGAAGATCAATACCATATTTTTGATCACTAACACATTGATCATATATTAAATTATTATCCGAACATCTATGATATTCTTCCCTACATTTATGAGAATATTTATGTAAATTCTCTTCACACCTACATGGATATCTTTGAAAATCTGGATTTTCTATTTCTGTATCATACTTTACATGTTTTATGGAATCCTGAAAACAATATTGTCGGGGATATGCCGGAACATAAGTATTATCAATGTACTCTCGTGAATATTTCGAAAGATCCTCCGGGTAATGAGTAGTGTGCCTCAAAAGATTTAACTCACCATTTATTGATTCAATTTGTGACGAATGTTGATCAGAAACAAGATTGTTCATAGAACCTGTGAGATCTGGACTAGGATTTGTTTGAACAGTTGTACCATTAGACTGTAATAATATAAAAAAAATAATATATAAATAATAATATAAATAAAATACAAGAATACTAATAAATATTTAAATACCTGTGGTTGTATAATTTTTACAGTACCATAAGTTTTATTATTAGTAATTACATTGTCACCACTAACTCTTTCTTGTTCTGCGCGATATTCTGGAGTTACAATACCTCTTCGATCTATAAAATTAGATATAATCAAATAATTTTTACAAAAAATAAAATAAAAATATTAAGAATATAAAAATAAATACCAATTAAACTAGGTGGCGCTGGTCCACACAATACATAGAAACAGTTTCCACATATATTTCCTTGACTATATAAATTGAAACTTTCTTGCCCTGTTTTAATAGAAAATGACCCCTTAATCTATAAAAATGATTCAAATTATTTTAAGATTATTGAATAATTTCAGATATATAAAAAATTAATAAATTTTTTAATACTTATATCTATACTTATATCTATATTATATTTATATCTATATATAATACTTACATCTTCATTAGTTGTCTGATTACTAGTAGTTAAATATGTATGAAAACCAGCAAGACCAAGAATACTCCAAACAGAAAAAAAACATATAATTGCTACAACAACACTTCCAGGAGATATCCTCACTGCTTCTAAAAATGGTCTATCATCTTTTGTGACTAAAATTAAATACATGAAAACAAACAATATCTAATTTAATTTTTATATATCTTTCTTATTCTAATGTTTTATATTTTTTTTAATTAATATACTTACGCATTATTAAATGCGTAACAGCACATGCAAATATGAAAACACAAAGAAATGCCAAAGAGACAATAAAGGCATAAAAATATCTGTAATTCCTCCTACCAACACAATTTCCCACCCATGGACAATGATGATCAAATCTCTCTAAAAAGATAATTATATATTTCTAAATTTCCATAAAAATAATTTTAAATAATAAAGTAATTTAAAATGGCAGATTAAAAAATTATACATACCTACACAATTGTCACATAAGCTACAATGTGAAGCTCTTGGTGGTCTAAATATTTTACAAGTAAAACAATATTTTAATTTTACTGGTTGTCCTTTGACTAATACCTCTTTTGTTCGAGGTGGAGGTCTGTACATTTTAGAATTACCATTGTTCGGTACCTCTTTACAACATGTAAAAAAACGAAGTTTTTAATTATAAACTACATTAAATTACATACACTATGTTAAAAAAGTAGAATATAATTTTTATAATATAAATATAAAATATAGTATAATATAGGCAAATATAATTAATCATAAAATTATATATTTTTAAAAAATATATATTTATATACCAATCTGTTTTTCAATATAGGCAGCTTCATCAAGAGTTGCTCTTGGAATAACACCAGGATCACTAAAACTTGTTCTGAACAAAGCAGACATTACAAAAATAAATAATAAACCACCAATAACTGGAATAGCAGGTGTTATATGAACTGCTAAAAATGGACAACTAAAAAATATATATAAAAATTATTAAATTAAATCTTGTTATATTATATATATATAATTATACATATACATATATGTACAATTTCTATTTTAAAAAATATAATCTTACTCAAAAGCAAAAAATAATCCACTTGTTCCAGCAATGAGACACACAGTCACATAAAAAACTCCAGTTTGTGGTGCCATCATTACTCTACCATCACAACAAAATCGATTTCTGCCTGGGAAAAGTTCCCATTTTCGTGTTATGTGAGGCATTTTGTAAATATAAACAGATTACTTTATACACTATACATATGCACAAATATGTATAAAAAATAATCTGTTAGAGTTATGCAATGATTATTTAATGTTACTACATAAAAGTTCGAACAATCATAGTTCATCTTGGCTTACTGCTCTTTTTTAATCAACTGCAACACATTTGTAAATTTATATTTATTGAATTGATTCATATTTATTTTTTAATTTTTGTAACTTCTTACAAAAATTATTTACAAATATTTAGATTTAAAATATTTATTATTTACATTTTCATATACAATTTTATTTTATACAAGTAAAAAATCAACCTACTATGAACTTAATATTATTTATTATAGAACTGCGTTCTTCTTGTCAACGTAACCTAATTGTTTCTTTCATTGAAAACATGACGATGTTCATATTTCATAAAAATCCATATTTTGAAAATATTAAATGGAATCATTTACTTTTTCCATATTTTATAACAATTATGAACTCACTTTCGAGACAGCATCGCTACTGTCTCACAGAGGCCATCGTCTTCAAGAACACTCAGGGTCGTAGTTAAAGAAAATCAAAAAATTCATTTATAAACTAGGTCACTTTTATGTGACATAAAAACAACACTTATATACTCTTGATATAAATTTTAAATTCGCGACATACATTACATTTCAAAAAACCGTTTCATCGTTTTAGTTAATCAATTTTACTTTAATGACAATAAGATATGTATTTACGAAAAATTATTAGCCGTCATGTTTGCTCGAGATTTATATGTGCTTCCCTCTAACGGAGTATGTAAAAGCACCACGTGATCTTATTGTCATGTGACCTAGCACAAAACCGATTTCGATTTCAAGCAACTTTTATCATTAAAATCGATAATAAAAAAAATTATAATTTTGAATACACAAAAACATATAAAAATCACATCATATTTTCAAATTCTTTATATATTATTAATAAGAATTATACAAAAGATTAAAATTTTTAAAAAATAATATAAAACAAATTATTAATTTCTTAATAATATAGACTTTTAATGAAAATATAATAAAGAAATAACTATACAAATTACTAATTCTATAGAAAAATATAATTCATTTTGAATCATGGAATTGATTATTTAATGATAAAAGAGTATGCTTATCATTTCTATTGTAAAATAGGTCGTCGACGCAATGCAGTATATCGTCACATGCACATGCATACATTCAAATGAAATCTTGAAAATCGAAGAATCCCACTGTAAACGCCATCTTCAGATATGTTTAGGAACAGAACAGCGGCGATCCTAAAATTTTACTGCACATACAAACTAACCCTGTAATATTGTCTCATAGATCTATAGATCAAACATTCTAAGTTAAAACTATTTAAAAGATTTAAGTCAAATATTGTTGTATTTCAATAATATTTATATTATCATAATATTAAATGATAACTTATATTTTAAAATAATAAAAACATAACAATATAATAATATAATACATAATAGGTAAGCGCGTTCCAATTAATAATATATTTCTCTTTTATTATTATTTTCAAGTCAATATTTAATTTGAATTTAATTTTTTTTATAGAAAAAGAAAACTTCTTTAAATAAATGAAAATATACTTTTACGTTCAACTAATTCTAGCAAGTTATACGCGTTATCTTATTCTACATTTGATTGAACCATTAAATTTCATCATTTCATCGTAAAATCATTAAAATTTGAATATATATATATA